ATGTTATTTTTTAAATGAATTTTGTGTTCTCTTTCATTTCCTCATTTATTATTCCTTATCATTTGCCTTTTTCATTACCCTATTCTTATTTTTCTTCGACTGAATTATAGTTATTATTATCATTACTTTTATTTATGATTATCATTATCATTAAAGTTACTTGTCTTATTGTTATTATTATTATTATTATTGTTATCATTGTTGTTATTATTACTATTATTATTATTGTCATTATTTTTATTATTATTATTATTATTATTATTATTATCATTATTATTAGTAGTAGTAGTAGTAGTAGTAGTAGCAGTATTATATTATTATAATCATCATCATTATTATTGTTATGATTATCATTACTAGTATTGTTATTATTATTATTACTATTATTTTTCATCATTATTATTACCATTACACTATCCTTGATACTTTCACCATTACTGTTATCGTTTTAATTAACATTGAGAGTATCATTTATTATCATCATTATCATTATATTCATCGTTGCAATTATCTGATCATTATCACAATTTTCATTGTTATTATTTCTTAATTTCTATTAACACTACGAACTTTGTCAAAAATTATCCCCAGTAATTTCATGATCATCAAATATATATTTTTCATTATACATTTTATTATTGATATTGTTATTCATATCATTACTGTTATCTGCCATTATTTGTTGCAAATTTCTATCAATATCATTATCATTATTATTACTTATTGTTCTTTTAACTATCTTTAATTATCTTTATTATTATATTCATTATTAATGTTATTATTATCATTTATTACCATTTTGTAATTGTTATTATCAGTATAATGAATTACTGTTATCATTATCATTATTATCATTATTATTGTTGCCATTATCATCATCATTATTATTGTTGTTGTTATTATTATTATTATCATTATTACTATTATTATTATTATTATTATTATTATTATTATTATTATTATTATTATCATTATTATTATCATTATTATTATTATTATTATTATCATCATCATTCTTGTTATTATTATTGTTGTAGTTGTTATTATAACAATTATTTTATCATGATTGTTATCTTTATCATCATTTCAAATATCATCAACATTATTTTCATAATTGTTAGTACCATCGTGATCATCATTATTGCAATTAGCATAATTTTGATTATTGTCATTGTTGTTATCATCATTATCAATGCTATTCTTATCTGCATTATTATCATTATTGTTATTGATTTTATTACGTATTATTATTATTATTATTATTATTATTAATAATAATATTATTATTATTATTATTATTATTATCATCATCATTGTTATCATTAGTAGTAGTAGTAGTAGTAGTATCATCGCTGATGTTGTCAGTATTATCAATTTTATCATTATTATTGATATAATCATTATTATCACAATCATCATTGTTATCAAATTCCATCGATATCATTATTGTTATTATCGTTAATAGCATCATCATCATTATCATCACTATTAGTGAAATTATCATCATCATTATTGCTATTATCGTATTATCATTATATTCCGAGTCTGTCATTATCGTTTTTTATTATCATTATCATTACTGTTCTTTTGTTGTTGCTGTTGCCATTATCATTATCATTATTTATTTATCATTATTACTACTATTATCTTATTATTATTACCACTGGTGATCGCATTTTTCTTTTTAGATATTAATGATAAACTATTATTACTGTGATTATTATTATCATTATTATTACCATTTACATTGTTATTATTACTATCCTTTTTATTATCATTACTGTTATTGTTACTGTTATTATCATCATCATCAATATTGATATCATTATTATTGTCTTTTAATTGCTATTATTATTATCATTCATTATTATTTCTTTATTACTGTTGTTGTTGTTGTTATCATTATTATTGCTGTTATTATCAGTATTACTAATATCATTATTATTGTTATTATTATTGTTATTACTATTATTATTATTGTTATTATTATTATTATTATTATTATTATTATTATCATTATTGTTATTATTATTATTATCATCATTATTATTATTTTATCATTTTTGTCATCATTATCAGTATTATAACTATTAATATCATTATCTCCATTATTATTTTTTTTACTACCATCATTAATATAATCATTATCATTAGATTTATATTATTTTTACTATTATTTCATGATAATCATCATCATCATTGTTCTTAATGTTATGATTACTGTTATTATTATTATCTTTATCATTATTATTATTATCATTATCATTATTAGCAGTAGTATTCTTATTGTTGTTGTTGGTGCTGTTGCTGTTGTTGTTATCGTTCCTTTGTTATTATTCTTATTCTATTATTGTTATCATTATTATTACCATTATTATTATTATCATTACATATTATTATTATTATTATTATTATTATTATTATCATTGTTATTATTATCATCATTGTTATTATTATTGTTGTTATTATTATCATTATTTTCATTGTTACTGTTATTATCATTGATATTATTATCATAATTAGGACCATTATTACCATCATTATCATTATCATTATTCCTTTTAGTAGTAAAAGTAGTAGCAGTAGTAGTATATTATCAATATTATTATTATCATTGTCATAATTATTGATAGCATTATTACTAACATTATTACTACTGTTATAATGATCATTATCATTAGCATCATGATATTTTTGATTGCCTTTTATGCTTTCATTATCCTTCATCATCATCCTTATAGATAAGTTCATCATCACCATCAGTAATCATTATTATTATCATTGTTACTATTATTATCATGATTATTATTATTACTTCTGTTATTATTATTATCATTATTATTATTATTGTTATTATTATTATTATCATTATTATTATTATTGTTATTATTATTATTATCATTATTATTATTATTATCATTATCATATTATTATTATTATTTGATATTATCAGCGATGCATTTATCATTATTAGGATAGCACCATGGTTACCTATTTCATTATTATTAATCATTATTATCTTTATTTGCCTTCATTAACCGATCTCATGAACATAATTCTATAGTAATTATTACAATGTGATTATCATTACTTGATTATTATCTTTATATCATTATTTTTATCTTAAATTTCCATTGTTTAATATATTTGTCTGTATCTTGAATTTATTGCGTTTTATCAACACATATTTTATAAATTATTGTGTATTTTCGATTGACGTGATTATCAATGCGTGTCGGGGGGTGGGGGGTTACTATGCTAAATTATCATCATTAGTTTATATATTTCACTGTTAGAAGAGTTACGATGCCGATATATATATATATATTTTTTTTTTTTTTTGTATATAAAATCCATTTTCTATTTCTTCACTTCCGATTTAAATAGCTTTTTTTGCGTTTTTTTTTTTAAGGAGTTGTAATATACTCTTTTTCTTTGGATTTGATTCTACGGCGATTCATTTGGGAAAGGTGAATGTTTTTTTTATATAATTATTTAGTTTTTTTTTTTTCAATTACTTATATTTATATAGAGAGAGATTTTCCCGCACGCACAAACAGGTCTGTTTGTGTGTGTGTGTGTGTGTGTGTGTGTGTGTGTGTGTGTGTGTGTGTGTGTGTGTGTGCGTGCGTGCGTGTGTGTGTGTGTGTTTGTGTATATGTGTATATGAATGAGGGAGGGGAAGAGGAGGGGGAGGACAGAGGGGGGGTAAGGGGAGGATAAGGAGGATGATGCCTGAATCTGAATGTGCGTGCGTGCGTGCGTGCGTGCGTGTGTGTGTGTGTGTGTGTGTGTGTGTGTGTGTGTGTGTGTGTGTGTGTGTGTGTGTGTGTGTGTGCGCGTCTGTAAGCTAACATTTATGCATATGTACCTGTATATGGATGTACTTTGCTGATTTCTCCAAAACAATATGATATGTTCAATTTAATTTTCGATAGTTGTTGCGTTAATGTGACTTCAACATTTTATCCTACTTTCAATGAAAACAACATCAAAATTTCTATACGCCGTGGCACATCAGCTGTTGAATTCTCTCTTTCGTTAGGAACTAAACATCTTTTAAGCTCATCACGCTACGGTACACTTTCTTCACAGTTAGCTTCTTTTGAAAATAACATTAAACAGAATCATTTTGTTTTTTAAGCATTCTTTCCTTTTTTTTTTGTTTTTCTCTTTAGATGCAACATATTGTATTCGATTTGAATATGAATCTATGAATCTATTCCTGATTATAAGAAGAAAAAAAAAACTTGTGAACAAGAAATGCATCATATATTTTTTCTTTTTCTTTTTTTTTTACTTCTCTTTGTCAAAATGCTTCAGTCATTGCCTATTCCTGTTGGTAAATCATGCATTCCTCTGATGCATTCATAGACACAAAACAATCTCGAGTTCCTTTCTGTTTTCATTATTCCATGGCATGATTTCGCTAATGAAAATGTCCTCGTCCGCTCTAGCCTCAGGGAGTATATACCTGACTGAACATTTAGCCTGCATGTCAAAGGGTAGAAATGAAAGCCTGCATGTATCAAAAAGCGTAATATATTATGCGTTATGTTACACAGTGTTAAATAATATCAAGATATACACATCGGCATGTCCTAGAGGTACATCGATCGCTCATATACTTTCATAGGAAGGAACCCTATGCGTACATGAATCTGTCTATACGTACATAGCTTTGAAGGCGCATGCACATGGTGGGCGCGTTCACACAGGACGTACATGGTGCTAGTAGACAGCACTGGGTGAAGTCACTGTAGTTAATAACAGAACACACACTGGACGGCCGTAATGGCTACGCGGCCGCCAGCTTCACTAGGCTTGTCCTCTTTGGTTTCACTAGATTGTGGGCGTGCCAGACGCCCGTAGTTCCTGTCGCTTGGGCGCGGTCTCGCCGCCCCTCCCGCCCGCGGATCCAAGCAGGACAGCGTGGCTGAAGGAGGGGGGGGACGCGCCGTAGGAGGGAGCTCGAGGGGTGGGGAACACTGCCATTATATACGAATGAAAAAAATAATAATCTAATGATAATAATGATCCAAGACAATGGTCGGTCCCAGAAATCCTCCCTGGGCGGCGCAGGCCCTTCGTTCCGCGGTCCTTCTGCCTCTCGTCTTCCCAAACAGCCTAAAGCCCAAGTCCTCAATACTTGGTGGCGTCGTCGTAGTAGGCCGGGTACTTGTAGGAGGCGCGGAAGCCCAGCTGGCACGAGGGGTTGGTGAGGAGGCGCTGGGACTCGAACATGTCGCGCACGTTCGGGAAGCCTCCGTCGCCGCTGCCTGCCGTCGAGCCCGTCTCCAGGGGCTGCGAGTACCACGAGCCGTGCGAGCGCGAGTAGGCCGCCGCCGCCGCCGCCGCCTGCATGGTCATGCCCCCCACGGCCGCAGCGCCTCCGGCAGTCACGGTGCTGCCGCACGCGCTCATGTCCTCTGCAGTGGCCGTCGGGAAGACCGAAGGGGCGCGGGTATCGCTGTACTGGCAGTAGCCCATCGTGTCGTAGTACATGCTGGAGCGGTACTGCTGCTGCGCCTCCGTCAAGAGCGCCCCGGGGGAGGCCTCGCGCCCCACGTCGCGGCTCCCGGGCACCAGCGAGTCCACGCTGAAGGAGGAACCCACCTCCAGGTACGAGCCCTCGTGGCCGGCGCTCGCGGACGTTGTGGGCAGCGAGGTGGGCGGCAGGTGGGCGTGGGTATGTAAGGGCGGCGTGTGGGTGTGATTGTGGAGAGGCGGGGTGTGTGTGTGGGCGTGCAGGGGCGGCGTGTGGGCGGCGGCTTTGACTTCCGGCAGGCAGGCGGGAGGGAGGTCCGGGGAGTCGAGGGGCTCGGTCTTGGGCTGGCAGAGGGGCGACAGGGGGGTTCCGCCCCCCACCTGCCCGCCCTCCCCCTCCTGCGGCCCCGACACCACTGACCGCGGCTGCTGCGGCGGCTGCGTCGGGGGCTGCTGCTGGTGCGGCTGCTGTTGCTGTACTTGTTGCTGCTGCGGCTGGGGCTGCGCCTGCTGCGTGATGCCCACGGCCGTGGCGTCCGCCTGCTGCGTCCGCGGCTCGGTCTCCGTGCCCGTGGGCGTGCCCTGCGTCTCCTGCTGCCGCTTGAGAGCCTCGTCCTTCTCCCGGATGGCGTCCTTCTTCTTGAAGCGCTTCCGGCGGCGCAGGTACGAGCCGTTGTCGAACATGTTGCGCGCCTCGGGGTCCAGCGTCCAGTACGAGCCCTTGCCCGGCTTCTTGTCGTCGCGCGGGATCTTGACGAAGCACTCGTTGAGGCTGAGGTTGTGGCGGATGGAGTTCTGCCAGCCCTGCTTGTTCTCGCGGTAGTACGGGAAGCGCTCCATGATGAACTGGTAGATGCCGTTCAGGGTCACGCGCTGGTCGGGGTTGTTCTGGATGGCCATGGTGATGAGCGCGATGTACGAGTACGGCGGCTTCACCATGTCCTTGGGCGGCGTGTGCTGCTGCGGGCTGTAGCCGTACGGGTGGTAGCGGCTCATGGCCGTGTAGCCGTCGTAGCTGTAGGCGTTGGGCGTCATGCTGGACATCTGCTGCAGGGCCGCCGGCGGATAGGTGGCCGCCGGGTGCCGGTAGTAGGACTGTTGGTCCCCGAACAAGGTGTGCATCTTGACGGGGTACGTCGACCACTGGTCACACATGGCTGCACAGCATAATCTGGCCTACCCCCGAGAGGTAGACCGCCTGCCCTTCGCGAGGGGACGCCGAGGGGAGCCGCCGAGGCGCTCGGAGTGAGGGAGAGTAGCGGCGGTGCGGGCGGTCGCCGCTCTCGCCCGGCCGCCTGCGATCTCACCTGCGGCGCTGCGGTGGACTGCCCCGGATCCTGGTTTCCTCGCCTTGTCCTCACGCACGCCACGCGCCTTCACAAGCTCACCCTCAGTACAAGCTCTGCACTAACCAGCCTCGATGCGTCGATCCTCGGGTAAGGGCAGGGCTTTGGCGGGCGGCGGGCGGCAGGAAACGGGCGGGTGGGCAGCCGAGGGCGGCGGAATCGTCTTGGTCGCTGTGCTGGTCGTCGGCGGGCGCCGTTCGCGTAATCCAACCTCGGCTCACAATCGGTCGGGCGCGGTCACACGCAATGTGCACTACGGAGAGTTCCTTATACAAATCAGCTGCACCACGTAATCTTTCTTAAGAAAATTCTTGGCTCGTGGCTTGATTAAAATCGTGAAAACACATCGGCAGTCTTTTTCTTATGATTCCAACAATGCTAAAGAAAACAGTGTTGTTGCTATTCTAAACACCACAAGAATTAGTAGCGGCTGCTAAGTCAACAAGCGTCCACCACCGCACAGCGTTACTCTCTGGTTCCGCTCCAAAGGCCGACTGAACTCGCTTAAAGTCTCGGAAAATTTACTTTAAGCCAACAGTTTAATCCTTCGCCATGTTATATTTTTGGCCCCGCCCACCGGCGCCTCGACCAATCCGCGCGCGGGTTAGCTTCTCCCCCGCCGATGAATGGCTGCCTATTGTCACCGCCAGCCAATCGCCGCCCGCCTCTCCTGAGTTATGATCTCCGACTCCGCCCACTGATATCAGATGATTGGTAAGCGAGGCGAGCGAATTACGTGGTCCTTCCCCTCGCAATTTTCCCCCTTTAATCTGAGGGACAATTCCCAAGTCTCAGAGGGTAATTTGGTGCCAACACTTCTAACCCCTCGGCCCGGCACGATAATCCGGGGTAAAGAGATTAGCCGCGGCTCAATAAAAGTTATCTAAACAGAGTGGCGGGGGGTGGAGGAGGAGGAGGAGGAAGAAGAGAAGGAGGAGGGATAGAGGGGAAGGAAAGGAGGAGGAGGAGGGAGAGAGAGGGGTTCGGCGTAGGATGGAGGAGATAGAGGAGGGAAGGGAGAGGGGGGGAGGGGGGAGAGAGAGAGAGAGAAGGGGAGGAGAAGGAGGGGGGTAGGGGGGAGCAGAGAGGGAGGGTGAAGGGAGGAGGAAGAGGAGGAGGATGCCTGAGTCTGAGAAAACACGTCGGGGCCAAAACAGGTTTACACAGCGGTTTTAACAAATCCCGCGTAATAAAGTCGGTTTGGGGGCCAGTCTAGCTAACGGAAGAGACCTCGCCCCTCTGATCACATCCAGTCTTCAACTTGTGGTCTCGGTGGGCGTGCTGGGTGGGCGGCGGGCGAGCAGGGAAAGCCTTGGAGAACGTGCGACGCGATGCTAAAAAGGCTCCACGTCCAACCCTCCTACGGCGGCGGCGGCGAGACGAGTCGAACGCTTTTAACAGTACAGTTATTTCTTCTTTCTCTCCCTACCTCTCTCTCTCTCTCTCCTTCTCTCTCTCTCTCTCTCTCTCCGCCTCTCTCCCTCTCTCTCTCCGCCATCCCTCCCGAAGACGCGCGTCCGGTAGTTAAACGAGCCGGAATGTGATCGTAAAAAAAAATTATAGGAACTCATAAAAATGAGTTTTATTCCAGCGACACTCCGCCAAACTCCGCCCCTCTGCCGCCGCCTCCTCCGCCATCGGGACCGTTCAGCAGTGCGCCCCCGACGGTCGTTTCTTCTCCACGGAGTCATATTCCTGTTACTTTAAAGAAAAAAAAAAGGTTAGTAAGAATTAAAACCCCATATATCCCTTTATCTCTCTCTTTTTTTATTTCATTTTTATAAACAAAACACATTAAAAAAAAAGGATATAATTATTCCTCTTTCATTCCCCTTTTCGTCTTCTTCTCCTTTCCCCCTTTTCCTTCTCTTCCTCTCTCCTCTCTCTCTCCCCCCCCCCCCCGCCTTAAAAATATTGATATACCTAAACCTCGTTTTCAAATAGAGTTTCAACCATTTGCAACGCGCGAGGGGATAGATCGACTCCCCTTTTCCAGAATGTTCCATGGCGGTGTGACTCGCTCGCCGCCCATTCATAGAGGGAACGTTAACGGATCTCGCTTCCTATTGGCTAAGCACCGTATCGATTTTACGTCGCTTACACAAACAAAATTCCTTCTCCCTTTTTTGAACGCTGCGTCCGCGGAAACAGATATAATTAATAGCGTAATGTTGTTGTGGAGTTTTTTTGGGTTTCATTGTTTTTGAAGGATATCGATGGAGGTTGTTGTTGTTGTTGTTGTTGCTTTTGTGCGTGCAGAGACAGTCCATTAAATGAAATGGAAGGTCGATTCTGCAAAGAAAATGGTTGCACAGTCTATCAATTTTATTTTGAATGTTATGATATATTTAGTTTCTTATTTATAGAAAAAGATATTTAATTACCAAGAAGCGAAGATGTTGTTACCAGGATGTTGCATATAATGATTATTAAGAATGAAATTGATATTGATAGTCTGTTAGAACTTAGAGAATAATATAAGCAACAATGATAATGATAATCAATATTATTTTTTAATGAAACAAAAATAAAAAATGATGTAATTGTGACAAGTATAAAGAGGATAATTTTAGTGACAGTGATGAAAATAACAATAACAACAATATTAACAAAAAAGTTATATTAATAAAAATGATAATTTTGAAAATATAATCGACATGATTTTCATACTAGTTATAGTAATGCGCAAACGCCGATAATCTTTATTACTAATATCATTGGCAGTAGTAAGAATATTTTTATCATTATACCTGTCATGATTATTATTGTTATTTTTGGTAGTGTTCTTATTGCCATTAACAGCATTTTCCATTACTGTCATAATTATCTATAGTTATTATTATTATTTCTTTTATTATTATTATCATCATCATTGCTGTTGTTACTATTATTATTATTATCATTATTATTATTATTATTATTATTATTATTATTATTATTATTATTATTATTATCATTATCATCGTCATCATCATTATTATTATTATTATTATTATT